TTGCGGAGCACAGGCTCCGGACGCGCAGGCTCAGCGGCCATGGCTCACGGGCCCAGCCGCTCCACGGCATGCGGTGTCTTCCCGGACCGGGGCACGAGCCCGGCAGGCGGACTGTCAACCACTGCGCCATCAGGGAAGCCCTAGAATGTTAAATTTTATGTTTATGTATATCTTACTACACTAAAGAAAATCATTTAAAAATAACTTCCAGGTTTCTCATATGAAAGATGAAGAAGTGGCTTTGATAAACCAACTAACTTTGGTAGAAACACTGTGGACAGAAGAGCTGAAGATTCTCCAGGCCTCTGCTGAGACCCTAACCAGTTTGCAAACAGCTTTTACGTAACTTCACCGGAGTGCAGGTGATCACCTCCAATGGTGGGTGTGACTTCTTAAACATTTTTAAACTAAGGTTTATTTTATACAGAATCATTTACAGTCAATCAGCGGTTTCTATTAAACAGTTATCTGCTTAATCCTATTCCCCTGCTTCTGTCTGTCTGTGGGGTGGAGTGGTGGCTGCTTGGGGACATCGAAGGGCATCTGTAGGGGCAGAGCAGGTCCTGGGGATTCCGTCCCATCTGCATTTCTGTTGCTGTTAAAGCAAATAGCAGTCCTGGAGGAAGATGTCCCAGGAACGAATGAATTGTCACGGGAGGGCGAAGCTGGGAGGGGGCCTGGGTCTGCCCAGGGCCCCGTTTGTGGTCTTCCTTCCTGCTTCTTACCTGACTCAGCGGCCGTAAAAGCACAAGACGTCGTGCTGCTCTGTGCTCTGATGCCAGCGGGTTAGGGTTGAGGGGCATGTGGCATGTGGCGGTGAGTGGCTGGGTGGCTTTGGAGGGGGCAGTGTGGGGCGGTGTCCAGCAGTCTTGGCTCCCAGCTGGGCTCCGCCCCCGCCACTCTGAGCTAGAGCAGCTCACTTCGAATCTTCCATCCTTGACTGCCCATCTGGAGACGAGATTGTTACGGGGGTCCCCTGTGCTCCCAACTAGCAGCAGGGCCTGCGGCACAGGCCCCGGTGGTGCTGCCCCTCCCTGACTGCGCCTCCCCTGTCTGCTGAGGACCAGGGATTAGCTCACGGGGAGGGCCCCTCCAGCCCTTGACTACCTGTGATTTCTGTGCGCAGAAAGTGAGTTCGTCCTTGTCAAACAGGAGACTCGTGAAGCCTCACCAGTCCTCCCAATGTTTACAGTTTCCCAGAATGTGTTCAAATCTCTGGTCAGCCTGTGTCCCTTTCCCATGCTTTGTGGTGGGTGTTTAACCCTTTTATTCTGCTCCTTTTCTTCATTTTAATGGGGGTATTGGGAGGAATAGGAGGTAAAGTTTTGTGCTCACTTGGTCATTTTGAATTCAGGCTTTGCTTTCCTTTTTTTTCTTCTTCTTTTTTTTAAAAAAGACAATACAAGCACTTTAGGCTGTTGACGGCACTCTGAGTATGGTTTTTATATAAAGTGTGCTCTAATTAGTACTTTTTAGATCTTGGCTCTGGATTTAAACTTCTCTCAGCGTTTTCATGCCTGTCAATTAACAACTGTGAGGGGGTCTGAGCGGGTGTCATCATATATCCCAGAAGCAAATACGTGCTTATTATTAAAAACTGGACGTTGTTGAAACATACAGCAGTAACGTTTATTAAACGTTAGCGTCGCTGGGTCGGAGGCTCTGTGCTCAGGCCTTGGTGCGCGGAGTTTTACGGAAGCCTCACAACCGCCCTATTTTACAAACAAAGACGGGAAGAAACGGCCCGAGATCCGACTCCTAGCGTGTGGCAGAGCGAGACCGTCCGGGGCACTCGGGGCCCAGCTTGGGGGCGGCAGTGTCCGGAACTCCGTGCTCTCCGGGCTCGGGTACGCGCCTCTCCGCCATCCTCACCGATGGCCGCGCTCCTCGCTCACAGGCCTTGGGCGCGCGGCTTCACTGCGGGTTTCGTTGGGGAGTCCGCGACGGGGTCGGCCTCGCTCTCGCCGCCCTGCGATGTGAGAGCGGGGATGAGAAACATCCAGGGAGCCGGTCCCTCCTCCGGCTGACGTGGCCGCGCCCGGTGCCACCGCCAGCCCCTCCCCGGGAAGGCGCGAGCTCACAGGCGCAGCGTGGCTGGTCCCGGGGCGGAAGCGGGTCCTGCCTGGGGAGCGAGGGGCTGGCCTCTGTGCTCCGTGGACCCAGCGGCTCGGCCTGCGTGCCTTCCCGGCGTGGACGCATCAAGCTGGCAGTTGCAGGAGGCTTCTGGGGGTTTCCAGGAGGACGGGGCGGGCCCCCGCACCTCGCTGGGCAGGGCTTACCTGACTGCCAGTTTGGGAAGAAGGGCTGGGCCGCCTGCGCAGCTTTTTCGGCTTCGCCCCTGGGGGAGCCCAGCTCCACCCAGCGCAGCCGTGCCGCAGTGCCGGCGTCTGCTTGATTCTGGGCCTCTGTG